TCCGACACAAGAGCGAGACACCAGATCATCATCAAAGGACATATGACTATAAAAAATAACCACTGATGATGCTTTCAGTCACAGTGAATATGCAAGATTTGGCTGCTAGACCCTCTCTTACCCACACAATCATTATCTGAACAGTGTGGACAGAGTCAAAGGGAATGGGGTTTAAATTAATTATACACTTAGATATATGAAACATCTACTTCTCCCAAACTACTGCTTCAGGCTGTCTGCAAGATCAGACAAACGCTCATGGCTGCCCAGGGTTTTGTTTTTAAACTTATGGTCATTAAGTGTACAAACTGCAATGTTTTTCATCTTTTTTCCCCTCGCTATGTCCATTTGCCTCTCCACATCTTTCACCTTGAGTCTGCTCCAAACCTCCATATCACCACAATCTTATGACCAAAAAACTCCCTGGAATTTTATTCCGCATTTCAGTTCACAGTTGTACTATTGTGTTGTAAGATAGTCTGATTCACTGTACTTTCTCTGATATGCATTAAAAACAAAATATTCAAGATAAAATTGTGAAATTCAAGTTAAATACATATTTTAAAAGGTCTTCTTCTCCATGAATAAAAATGAAACTATGTATAAACACCACTTATACAGCAAGGGAAAGACCTCAAAAACCTTTTTCCCCTGGTCTTATCTTGAAATTTTATTCCAGGTACTGTTTGCAGATGCAGTTAGCCATTGGAATTAATTTTGATGAAGTTAAATGCTGCAGAACTATTTTTTTTACTAATGAAAACAAAAGCTTCTGATGTGTCTGAACCTGACACCACCACATGTACATTATCCCGCACAGTATATGAGCGTAAGTACCAGACACACATTACAGCTGGATGAAATAGTAAATAGTACAACTGCTGCAACATGATACTTACGCCAAACTTGACAAAAATGCCACACTGGCTGGCACTAACACTGGCTAAACAGTGCTTCTATTAACCAGATGCAGTCAGAGCTTTGTGCATCTTTGTGTAGCTCTCTGGTCTACCCAGATCTAGATCTGTGAAGTCTACTAAGCCCTATTTTAACATACGGTTTAGCATGAACATGCAACAAAAAGCCAACACTATTCTGAAAAAGGGAAAAAAAAAAAACCCAAAACAAACAACAACACAAGAGAGTAAGCTAGTTATCTTGAGGGGAAAACAAAAAAACTTTTTTTGAAAAGTTAATAAACATTTTCTCTATTATTCATGAAAAAGCAAGACAGAAAATGAAACAGGTTTCTTCTATATTTTATTAAGTCCTTTATTTTCCCACAAAAATGGCTTCCCCCTCTTTTTACTGGGGGGGAAGCTTGCTTATGTATACAATAACTGAAGAATAAGATTTAAATGGCATCCCAGGTTTCCTCATTCTCTTGAGCATATAGCATGAATTGAATAACAGGCTTTCTACTACACAAATGTCCATAATTCTTTGCTTTCATAACCTCAGGTATCCATTTATGATGAACTAGCAAAACATTTGCTATCATATTCAGAGTCTTTACAACAGAATTACAAGAGGAAGGTAATACATTTTGAAGAATCATCATTTATCACTGAAAAGTGACAAGAACAAGCCATTATCATGAAATGTAGACTGTGTGGCCAGGCATTACACCTGCACACACAAAATACTCTGCTTCTGCAACAGAAATTAGTATCTTCGTATCCTGACTGCAAAGTTCCCCTTGTGAAATAAAGGGACTCTTTGAAATACTAAGTGATTTTGGAACAAATAGCTGATTCCCAGTTCAGTAGAAATTTGTCTGAAGTTTTGTTTTCCCAGCTCCACCTATCCATATTTTCTAATGCAAGGAGACACTGCAATCTTTCCCAAGACAAAGACATTTAAAAGTCCCTCCTCTGCTTTCCTCCAATTCACATGAAACTTAAAGAAATATAACTGTATTATTTAAATTAATCCCCTTAATCAAATTTTGGCTGCAGATCACTAAGAGGTAAAATTTGAAGGAATTAGGTAAGACAAGCAAGGTACAACTTTCCTCCTGAAGAGGTCAAACTCAGAAGAGCATGTTCAATATAATTTCAAGCTCCTGAAACCTTGACAGATCTTACAGCATGAAAGCTTCAAAACTATGATCTAAGCAAAGGAGGCACTTCTACTTTCTGTATCAGCTCAAGCCATCTGCTGATGGTCTGTTAGGCTCACCACCAGACAGAATAATGATGGACTCAGTAACCACTGCTTCAGTGATTTAAACGAGGCACACAGGACTTCATAAAGATATGAGCCATGTTGCTGCATGTTCTGTTAACTTTGGACTGAACACCTATTTCATTGTTACTGTTACCAGTAACCAGTTCAGAATCATCAAGCAGCTTGCGCATGCATAATTTGAAGTGCTTAAACATGTACAGATAAATGCAATCTTTGCATTAGAGGAGTCATAATATTTGTAAGAACCAAATATAACTCATGGAAATCAGAATAGAATCTCTCTTGTGACTACTGGAAAGTGATCTTGGGAATTGTTTTCAAAATCAGAGGACAGCTATATTATTCTGTAACTGACTTTCTGAAAACTGGAGAACCATCAGAAGTTCCACATGCAAAAATCTGCAAAAAACACTGCAAATAAAACTACCACTTGAAGGTTTTAACTTTAATCCCACAGTGCTCAAACAATAAGCCATATTACTCTCATAACCTAATTTAGGCAGATAACATGAAACTAATTTAACCAAGTTGTACCAAACCTGATCAAACCTTACTCTGAATCTGAGTAAACAAAAGCATAGTGCTGAAGTGACAGAAGAATCATTCAAATGCCCTCACAGCTGACAATTCCAGCATCTTCTTAGATGCATCTCCTAAGAACAGTGTTAACTTCTATTGTTAGTAATTCTAACACCTATATTTACTTTAAGACACACATCTAGCATACTGGTATAGTACATTCTTTCTACAGATTGACAAATACACAGATTACTCCAATAATAAATTAGACAAAGACGAAAAATATACTCTGAATTTACTGTAACAAAGAAGCTACCTGCACCAAACTGTGCAATATAAACAAACTGTATCTGCCAAAACACTTTTCTGAAAGGAAACCAGTATCACAGGATCTGTATATCCAATTGCAAGATATGCTGCAAACCATTGGCTTCTCAAAGAAGTAGGCTTTTGGATAGTTGCTTATCATTATAACTAGAAAATAAGCTTAACCCGTTTGTATTAGAAGACGATTCACAATTCTGTGAGGTAGGGAAGTTCCTTTATCCCCTTTTTACAAAATGAAATGTGAGATACTAAAGCTAGAAATGGGATTTGTATACTGCCAAGCTTTGAGGCATCTACCTGTCTACTGAAATTTATGGTATTGGAGTCATCTAGATTTCTGGTAAAATACAAAGGATTATACGGTATATAAGAAAGGTATCCACAAAAGAAAACAAACCAAACAGCTGCTTTCAAGAAGCAATAGAAAGTACGGAAGCAAAAGATACACTTTCTCCCATACACCTCTAGCTATTTTTATTAGCTCACTATGAGCTGCAGGAAGACATCTTCAATTTAAAATTTAGAGCCCTGACTCTAAACTGTACTTTGTACAATGTACTTTGATTCTCCCTTCCAAGTAGGCAGACTGCAGCGGCTGCTTAACAATGTTTTTTGTATAAAACAGTTACTGAGAAGAGGAAAGATGTAAGTTTCAGTGCCTACTTCATCAAGAAAATAATTAATTACTTTACAAAAATTTTGCAATGAATGACAGCCTTAACTGTTCCTTCATACTGCCAAAACGATCTTATTCTGAAACATCTTTTCCTTGTTCCAAGGAAAATTTTATTCTCACTCTTCCAACATGCAATGATCGCAAAGATGCGTAAAACTTCAAATAAGAGAGACTGCTCTTCCCTGCCTCTTCCCCAAGAAACCTGCAGATTTATGATCAGGTCACTCTCCTACGGAACGTGAAGCACAAGTTCCAGTCCCCCTCAGGCAAATATCTTCAACCTCCCTCTTATTGAAATTGTTAAGGGACACTAATTCTTCAGTCTCCCTCTGTGGCAGGGAAGAAACCTAAGGTACTATATCAAAGAAGAAACTTCCTGGAAGAAATGCCAACTTAAGAGTCCCTACTTCACATTTCCATGCTGTTCATTCCCACCCCTGCTATCTCCTACTATTTGTTCTGGAATTAACTGCTTAGAAGGTAGAGTGGTAAAACTTTAAAATAAACAAAATTATTTTTAACCTGAACCAGTTGACTGATCCAATTTACCACATGGCACGGGCAACAATTGTGTCAACACCAGAGAGGACTAAAAGAAGGGCAGAAATAAGCAGTCAAACATGAACAGAAAGTTTCTGCATTAGTGTTGAGCAATTCCTAAATCCATATTCACAGATTCCAAAGCATTTTTATGAGACTGAGGATTAATCTTCAGCACTGTAAAACAGGTGCCATTTTAAGAGGGAGGAAGCAGAGTAACTGATGGGACAGTCAGAGCATAAAAAGTGGGAAAGAAAAGTATGGCCGTAGTCCTCCTTTCTCTCTATATGGGTGTATATATAGCCTTCTCTGTGTGGTTTTATATATACACACACATACATATATACAAAAAAAAGACCTCACAGATTTAAAAGACTTACTGAAACTATGCTGTCTGTATGTTTATATGTAAAGATTTAAGTAGCATAGAAAAGCAAACCCTCCAAATCATCGTTAATGGCATTGAACTATATTTTTTCTCCTGACTAGAAGGGAGCCTTACAAAAACCTAAGTCCTGTGACATGCACAGAAGTAAACACATGCACATATCTTCAACTAGACGTTGGGTCAAATACAGGACTTTCAATACAGGTCTCTGCACTAAAGAAACAAACAGCAAAGAGCCACCAAAAATGATAAAGCAATTTCCAGCATTATTTCGAGGAATCAGTGAAAGAGTATCTATGTACCCCCTGAGAAAAGTAACAGATCTTGGGGAGGGGACGGAGAGGAAAAGCTACAGGATACAGGATGGGGCAAAGGGGTGCAAATCTCTGGGAAGACCGTGCTGGCGATGGAAGACGCCATCGCCCTCTCCGGCTCCCTGGCAGCGAGGCAAACGCTGCCCGCCACGCCGGGCACGGCGGAACTCCTCTGCCATTTCGACCAGCTCCCGACCTCCGGGCGCCGCAAGGACACCGGGCGGTCGGTCACATCGAGGAAGACAGCAAGGACACGGACAGACACGGACAG